ATTTGGTTAAAGGAGACTCCCCATTGAACACTTCAAATGATACTTGAACCTTTTCCTCTTCCTCCTTAGGGACATCCTCTTGTTTAGTTTCTGCAAGCATAATTTCTACTTCTCCAAGTTGTCCTTCAATCTCCAAGAGTAAAGTGTTTACCTCTTCTTCTTGATTTTTCATTATTGCACTAGGTAACTCACCTTGTATCTCTTCAGCAACTAAGTTGAGCAAATGACTTGATTGGACCTCCAGATTTTTATTCAAACATGTCTCCTCTTCTGGAGCTTGAAACCCTGATTGTGGATCCAATATATCTTCATCATTCCATGAGGTGTTTGGATCAACATTACATGTATTGGGACAAGAATTATACTATTGGCTATGAAAATCACCAGAAAAATCAACACACTTGTTAGATTGTTTAAAATAGCAATCATAACTAAAATGGTCACATCCACACCATTGACAAGTGATATTTAATCGTTCTACTATAGCCTTCTTTAATTTGATCCTTTCAATGACTGCTTGAAATCGTTCAAGTTCATCATCGTCAATTTCTACTAGCAAGATAATTACTGCTTCAACTTGTGCCCTCATCTCCGGTGCAAGCCATTGATAATCCACATCAGTGTTTAACACAACTCGATCCATAGTTAAACCTACAAAAACAAAAACAAAAGAAAAAAAAATCAAAGTAAAGAAATAAAAGAAAAGAAAACGTTCAAATTAAATCTAAAATTAACCAAATTCGATATTAATTAAATCAACAATCCCCGGCAGCGGCGCCAAAAACTTGATACACTAAAATCACCCTAGCAAGTGTACTAGTCGCTCTAAGTAATATAATGATGAGAGAGTGTCGAACCCACGAGAATTGTGTTTAACTAAGTACCAAAATAATTAATTTAAATTTATTTGAACAATCAAATAGGAAGAAACTTTAATTAAAAATAATAAAAAGAAAATAACAAATAAATCTAATCAAGATAGGAGGTACTAAGGCATTGACTTCACCATAATCAATCAATATAAATTCTGGATTACTAAATTGTTGAGTGTTATTGCATGTGATGGTGGATTTCCCTAAATTAATAAACTAACTTTCTCAAGTCAAATTAATCCTTCACTGGTTTGTTAAATTAATCATATCTCTATGTAATTTTAAACAAACTAATGAGCATTAGATTCTATGGAAACCTCTAGCTGAAGAAGGGGGAGCTACTAACTCTCTTCTCTTCCTCCACTACCACATGTGAGCTAATCACCTCTCGGTCTCATAGTCTAGCACACGGTTTATATTATTATTGGTCTAATCTACGCAATTCTTTCTCAAGTTCATGCATAAATCACTAAATCAATTGAAAGATGATCAGACT